TTTTTTTTTTTTTTTTTTTTTTTTTTTTTTTTTTTTTTCTAGTTTAGTTGAATTTGTGGTGAAAATGGTGGAAAGCTGTTGAATTTGTGTTATTTTAAAAGGATTGATTGGTGGATTAGTTGCATTGCATTGCATTACATTCTTGGGAAATGGGAATTTGGTACCCTGCTTAAATTTTGGCTGCTATATTGAATACTCAATTTGGGTTCTTTTTAAAGTTGATGAATTTGGGGGTTCATTTGGGAAATTGGGGTTTCGGCTCACCTGATTTTGACTTTTGTTAATCACATTACCAAAGTTTGGTTTTTGCTTCTTGGCTTGATCGTATCAAGCAATGGCAATCTTGTTCTGTCAATGTGTGTGTGTATTTAAATTGAAGATATTCGCCTACAAGTTTTTGTCTTCACTTGGATTGTAAGTTCAGAATCTGAATGAGTAAAGGTTGATATTTTTCTGTTTCAAGCGACATCAAGAATCAAGATGGAGAGAGAAAAGGGATTTTTATGTATATATATATGTTTTTTTTTGTTTTTTAGTGCATGAACTGATTGTACATTCTTCAATTTTATCAGGTTCTTGGGGTTGATAAAAATGCAAGTCAGCGGGAAATACAGAAGGCATTTCACAAGTATGTAAACTTGGTATTCTTGTTTGTTACGTTTCATCATATAAATCCAATATGATTTTCTTTATTGACTTGACTCATTTTGTTTTTCAGACTCTCTCTCCAGTATCACCCTGACAAGAACAAAGCCAAGAGTGCACAAGAGAAGTTTTCTCAGATCAATAACGGTATTGAAAGTTGCCCTATCTCACTCCTACTCCTACCTACCCATCCTCACATACACGAACTCATTTACTGGAACAGAGAATTGATACTATACTCCCTCTGTTCTCTATTTATGTATAGTAAAGACATTAGTTATATACATTAAATTACTAATTTTATAATATTTTTTCTAAATTACCCATCTCATAAATGGCAAAAAGAACTAGTGCAATTGAAACCTTTAAAAGAGGGATATTTTAGAAGAAGTAGCATTAAATGAGATAAAATAGTTGAAATTTGTTCATATTGAAAATTAAAAATGTTTGTTTTTTTCTTCTTTATAATAGATAACAGATGGAGTAATTAATTATGGTTTAATTACCCTTTTGGTTTCTATAGTTTCACACATTCTACATTTTAGTCCTTATAGTTAAAAACATTCCATTTTAGTTTGTATTCATATTATTTTAGTTGCTATCCACCTTTACCTTGTGTGAGGATATTCATGTGTGTATTTCTTTTCTTTCAACAGCATATGAGATTTTATCGGATGAAGAGAAGAGAAAGAATTATGACATGTATGGAGATGAGAAAGGAAATCCTGGATTTCAAGGTGGCCATCCTGGAGGCCAGGGTGGATATACTTATTTTACAGGGGGTGGTCCTGGACAAGGCAATTTTAACTTCAAACCTGGGGGGGACTGGCAGGGAATGGGTGATCAGGAAGGATCTAAATCATTCTCCTTTTCCTTTGGCAGCTCGGGTGATTCAAATCCTTTTGGATTTGGTTTGGATGATCTTTTTGGCAGTTTTTTTGGTGGTGGTGGAAAACAGTTTGGTGGTTTTGGCAGTTCAAGTAGTTCTCAATCTGGGTCCAAGAGTTCTCCCAAAAGTCTTAGAGCTATAAATTCAAATATCTACAAGAAAGAAATAGAAAGTGCAGGGATGACTTGGCTTTTGTTATCTTATATACCATCATCAAAGAATATTCAATACTTTGAGTCCACTATAGAGGAGGTTGCCAGTTCATTGCAAGGAGCTTTGAAGGTTCTTATTTAGTTTTTTATTGGCTTAAAGTATATATATTCAGTATTTGCAAATATGGCTGAATTTGGTTTTAGTTCTTTAGTTTTATTTTTTTGCTGGTTTTGCTCCTTCATAAATTTAATTTTTCTTTTGAAAATGGTTCCTCAGTGTTGGCATGACATGCCCATACTGCATGTTATATCAGTCATTTTGAAACAACATTTTAGGTGCATATTACATCATCACTAAGTGGTGATAATGAAGACTAGGAAAAAAAAAAAAAAAACTTTTGTAGGGATAAAATAAAGTTTAGCCATATTTACATGAATTAAAACATATTTTATCCTTTTGTAATTTTTCATTTCATTGATTGTTTTGGAGTTGGCATGGTTTACATATCTCTTTTGCGTAACAGGTTGGAAGCATTAACTGTGAAAAGGAAGACTCATTCTGTAAAGAGCTTGGCATATATCCACGTAGAGCTCCAAGGATTTTTGCTTTTTCTTACAAGGAGAATGAAAAAGGTTCTTTGGTGGAGTACAGTGGAGACTTGGGTGTTAAGAATTTGAAGTCTTTCTGTCAAGAACACTTGCCAAGGTTTTCAAAACGAACTGACTTGAATCATGTTGATCAATACAGCACTACTGCCAAGTTGCCTAGGGTGCTGCTTCTCTCCACCAAGAAAGACACTCCTGTAATTTGGCGTGTTCTTAGTGGCTTGTATCACAACCGCATTACTTTCAGTGATGCAGAGGTATGTAAATGCTGGTTGTGAAACACATTCTTTTTCTCTGTTAATTTCTTTCTTAAGACATATAGTGAAAGCCTTGTACTTTTTCTAAAGGGTAAGTTTTAATGATTTGTAGGTTCATGATGTTTCTGATCCAAGAGTGAAAGTTCTAGGAGTTGATGCACTTCCAGCTATTGTAGGTTGGCTACCTAATGGAAAAAAGCTTGTTCTGAAAACTGGGATTTCTGTAAAAGATTTAAAATCTGCAGTTCTTGATCTTAGTAACACACTTGATTATTTTGAAAAAGTAAGTAAAAAGGAAGCATCAGGTCAGGCTAAGAAGGCACAAACTGATTCAGATGAGGGACGCATACCATTACTTTCTCGGTCAAACTTTGAGGCTCTTTGTGGTGAGAAAACTCCAGTCTGCATAATTGGTGCCTTCAGATCTTCTAAAGCTAAAGAAAAGCTAGAATCAATCCTCTCTTTGGTAAGTGTACATTTCATGTACTTGGCCCATTTGGATATAAACTTTTTCAGAAGAATTTGAAGAAAAAAATAAAAAGAGAAAATAAAATAATTTTTTTCATAAGTTTAAATTAACTTATATATAAATTAATTTGTAGAAATTTTCTTATATAATTTTTTCAAAATTTTATTTTTAACTTGTACATAAACTAATTTTAACTGTAAAAGTTAATTTCACTTTTTGTTTCTCGTATTTCTGAATAAGTTTATCTAATCAGATTGTGTATGTTATGTTTTTCTTGTGCAACGTCTTAAAAGTGAGCATTGGTGAAACTTTTCAGGTCTCTCAGAAATCTTTGTCAAGACGACCGAATCATGGATCCAGCAGTTCTAGGGACTCAATTTCCTATGCTCTCTTGGATGCTGCAAAGCAACAGTCATTTCTAAATGCATTTGATAAAAAAGGTTTTAAATCATCAAATCAGTTGTTAATTGCCTACAAACCTCGGAGAGGGAAGTACAGTGTATTTATGGATGAAATGAGCATAGAAGAGATAGAGAATTTCATCAGTTCTGTTCTCAGTGGAGATATACCCTTCAGAGAAACACGTAGGAAGCCTGTACTCGAGCATTAGATGACCATAAACCTGGGTTTTGCACTGTTTTGGCTGCATGCCCATGTACATACATAGTCAAGAGATATATAAAATCTTGTTTTTTTGATACTATCAAGAATACAGATGATCTAAGATTCCAAGTAGGATGGGATGAGGATAACAGCAAATCGGATATTATTATTGTTGATCCATGCTTGTTCTTCCTCAAGGATGCTTCATTCATCTAGCTTTTACAGATAATATTATTAGTATATTAATATATTGTTGTTAGTATTTTAAAATTATATAATTGTTGACTTATTTAAATTATGTAGATTATAATTATCATTATTTATGTATTAAATAATATATATTTATTATTACTAAATATTTTTTTATATATATTGTTAATATTAATTTTTAATAATATTATTAGTATATTTATATATAACTTATTTTAATAAATATAATTCACTAGTGTCACGTTGGAAAAAAAAACTATTAGGATTTTAACGAAATGCAGATGGAAAGACTAAAACTTCAAAATTATAATAACTGGGAGATTTAATTCTACTCGATTAAAGGTTGAAATTGCACAATTTCTGCATATGAAGGACTAAAGGTACATTTGTATCCAAACTTGTTATTTACAATATTCATTAGATACATCTCTCATCTTTATTTTTGGCATATAAAATTATTTAAATGCTTTATCCTTTTTTTTTTTCTCAAGTTACTTTTGAGATTTTACACATTTATTCTTTCGCATCTTCAAAGTTCAAACCCTTCTCTGTCTCTCTCTTTTTCTTTTTTTTTTTTTTTAACCAAATAGGCCCTAATCCTTAAATGATTTAGATAGATTTGATCGCAGTTGGAGTGCCATCATATCTGAGTTTTATATATATATATATATATATATATATACACGGGGAATGCTAATATACTCTCACATATTTTTTAGTTAGATTATGTTAGCAATCTACACCAAAATTTTAAGACAAAAAAATCATTAATTTCTTTTGATTTGGTTAATTTGTATAAAGGATATTATAATAATTTAATATAATTTTTTTTTAAAAATAAAATATTTTCTCTCTTTTATTAACTTCATTCTCCAACTCATTTTTTTTATTAATTAGTTTTTTATTTGTTCAGAGAGAGAGAAGGGAGACATCATGAAATGTGAGAGAAAAGAAAATTTAATAAGAGACATAAATGAGTTAAAGAAGGAATTTAATAAGAAAGAGAAATGGGTTGGAAAGCAAATTTAATATGAGAGAGAAATGATTTAGATAAATGAGTTAAATTTTGGTGTAAATTGCTAACATACTTCAACTAAAAAATAGGTGGGAGTATATTAGCATTCCCCTATATATATATATATATATATATGAGGGATCCTTTTACTCTAGGAGTAAATCTACCTAGACTTACTCCGTTCAATAACTCATATTCTATATCAAATTTCAACGATCCAGCCATTTAATTTAAAGTTCTTAATGTATAGATCAAATCTGCAAAGTTTTAAAAAATTTAAAAATTATTTGATACTTGATTTCATTAATTCGAATCAATGTATAAAATAATTTTATAATTATCCGTCAATTTGAATTTAATAAAATGAAGTATCAAATGATTTTCAAAATTTTAAATTATTGAACGGAGTAAGTCTACTTACTGATGGAGTAAAAGAATCTCTCCTCATATATATATATATATAGAAGAGACCTAACTTTATGTGCCTATTAAACACTTGAACTTTACAATTCAATCCATAAATTAAGTATTCCCTCCGTTTTTTTTTCATAGTCGTTTTGTCAGAGTTTGTTATTTTTTTTCATTGTCATATTACTAAAATCAATGAGTTATTAATTTTTTTCTTCTATTTTTACCCTTGATAATTAATACATGTTTCCTGAACAATGTGTGTATTTATTTTTAATGTCTACCTAATTTTTCTCCAACTACTCATATAAAGTTAATGTGCATTTATAAGAGCAATATGTTCCCAACAAAATACTATAAAAAACAAAAAAAAAAGGACAACTATTTAATGGAGTAGTTCAACAGTCTAAAAAATGCAAAAAAAAATAAAGGGTAAAATTGAAAAGTAAGTAATAAACATTTTTGAAAACTAAAATATCAATGATTTCCTTAAATCCCGTGCAAAACCTTAAACGACTATGAAAAAAAAACGGAGGGAGTATTAATTATAAATTTTATAAATCCAACCGTTAGATTGAAAGTTCATATCACTTAGATCATATATACAAAATTTTATATTAATCCAAGATAATTTAATACTTCATTCTTATAAAACAAAGTTGACGTAATATATTCATTTGAAAATATACTAAAATATGAACACTTTGATCACCTTTAAATTGTTCAATTTTAACAAAATTTGATATACACATATAAAGTGATATGAATTTTCAATCTAACGGTTAGATTTACAAAATTTGCAATTAATATAAAATTATTAGATTTACAAAATTTGCAATTAATATAAAATTATTGAGCGGTGTCATTTGAGCCCTCCTCATATAGATATATTTTATATTATACACTTTAAACGTTCTATAATACTCTTTCCACAATTTTAATACCCTAATTTTTAATTTCAGAGTATATAATAACATGCCAAATATTGATTGAGTAAAAGAATCCAGTTATATTGGCCCAAATCAAGTTGCCGTAAAAATAATAATGACATGCTAGTGTTAAGTGTTGAAGGATACTGAATTAGGAACGTGAATTTGGTAGCAACTGCAGGAACCCTCTGCTCCAAAAAAAATAAAGGTCTAATTGGAATCCATCACTATGCCAGTACTGTACAGTATACTTCTTGCCTAGCCTAAGGTCTAGTGCTAAAATGTGCTAAAAGACAGAAGTTGAAAGAAAAAGTAAAAATTTCTGCAAGATGTAGCAACAAGCTGAAGCAGATAACTACGGCTCTGAGCCGACCATGCCCTGCATCATAATAAAAGAAAAAATGAAGACATTACATCCAACCAGATAGAGTATGTTAAGGCAACACATCTCTTTCAAAACAAATAAAGAAATTACAACCAACTGAATAAAGTATGTTAAGGCAGCAAACCTCTTTAAAAAAATGCAGCAAGAAATCAAATACCCTATCCAGTATGATCACTAATGGTATCACTGTCATCACTAACAGTGTCACTGTCATCGTCATCATTTACACCGCTGTGTTGAGGTGATGAAGATGGATGAGAAAAAGAACCAACAAGTCCTAAGTGTTGCCTTAAAGCTGCTACTTGGTTTTTGGTCTCAGTCAACTCCTGTCTCATGTCTAGCATCTCTTGTTCGTGTCTATGTAGTGCTTCATTTAATGCCTTAATCTGATTTCTTAAAACATCAACCTCCTCTGAATTTGCGGAAAGCTTCATTGTTTGACTTCTGGATGTAAATGTTTTGCCAATGAATCCTTGTTTTTTGGTCTGAGTCGATTCCTGTCTCATCTTTAGTTTCTTCTTTTCTTGCTTTTGTAGTGATTCATCATTTAATGCCTGAATCTGATTTCTTAAAACATCAACCTCCTCTGAATTAGCAGAAAGCTTTATTGGTTGACTTGAGGATGTAAATAATGTTTTGTCTATGGATCCAAGGCCAAAGATCCTCCTTTTTTTCTTTCCAACTGAAGCTACCGATATATCAAAGTCTAAAGGCATATGATCTATGGACTGTTGACTATCAACTCCATCCTCCCCCGAATTAAATGTTGAACTCTGAGAAGATAACTCAAGTTTCCTCTGTTCAGAATTCTCCTACATCATAGTAAAATAGTAACATGAGTAAAATATCATCTTTTCAGATCAAATATTAACATAAAACTAAAGGTTTATAGCAACAAACAAGCATTATAATTTTGAAAAAAAGGGACAAATATAATTCTATATTTTATCATGTCATGAGTCAAGATGATTGTGGTATAACAAAAGGGGCACCAGTATCAGGTCAGACCAAACATACTTAAATGTGTCATTGGCTCAGAGTAGAAAAGGTTAGTTCATCCCTTCAAGAATCACACATCTATGTGTATATACATATTGACAATATGCTGCTCAAAAAGATAACCAAATGTCCATGTGTACCTGCCCAGGGGGTATTCAAATAGCACGTTATTCAATAAATGCATGTGTTCTAAATGTTATGAGGGGCTGATAAAATTGGATCTGCCTCGTAACATCGGATCTGCTCTGCATATAGTTAGAATCTAAAGAACAGCAAATTAAGTAAATAAAGGCTTAGTAGAATGGAACAACAAATAGAATAAAGAGGTTACTTTTTGTCGAATCTCCAGACCTATATCACAAATGAATCAGGACTATTGTGTCATAATCTTTGGTGGAACTTCTACCATGGAGGTTTAACGCCAATTTTTGCTCTATTTAATCATTAAGCTATCCAAATCAGAGTCCTATAATGTTAGCTATTATTTATTCATGAAGCTCCCATCATGTGGATTATGGTATCAACTCTGCCAAACTTGTATAATGTACTAATAGAAATTAGAAAAAAATTTATTACGCATGTAGTGTAGTGACTATGTCTTCATTTATTTTGATCATTATGAAAAGTACAACGAAAGAAAGAAATGAATGGACACTAACTCCTAACTCTCCTAATAAAAGCAATTTGCATGGTGTCTACCATCAATAACTGAGAAAGACCAAAGGGACAAGAATTCCAAAAAAATAAGGATGCATCATTGGAGACTCCATATTTTGTCATCCAATCCGCACACTGATTTCCCTATCTTAAAATATGTTGAAAAGAAGGTTGTCATTCTTTATCCATGAATGTGTAAATAACATTAACGAATGTACCATGAGGATGCCAAGTAGAACCTATGTCTTCATTTAACTATTGCTTAAGCCTAGAACTAACTTAGTAAAGTTTTTTTTTTGGTGGTGACATGGAAAAGGTTTGAACCTTAGATATTTACTTCAGCATAAGACATCCTTGACTCTTGACACACCCAGAGATGCACATGCTTATGGGCAACTGTTGAATCCAATATTATTTTTTCTGGCAAAAGGATTAAAATATGCAAGCACACTTTTTTCATTCACTCGAATTCTTAGTTTCTCATTTTTTCTATCTGCATGAATATGGAGTGTAAAGATTCATAAAGAATCTATACATATTGAAGTAGATAGAAAGGATTAAATTTTCCCAAAGATTTATCAGTGCGGGGAAATTTAGAGTACCATAAAAAAAGTTATATCACTTTGGTCCAATGCTCTACTTATATGACCTAAGCTAATTGCTGGAACCCTCAGTTTGCCGATGGGGACCTCAACCATAAATAACATACCCAGAATAAGATCTACATATTAAGGGTGCTCAGTCGAGGGCTTTAGCATGGCAATACGAACGCTGCATGTGCATAAGAATCAAATGCACCAAAAATTAATCAATGCACAATTCCATGAGAAATTTTCTAAGTACATTTTTTTAGTCGTGAAAACCAAATCCTAGAGACACTACAACTATTCGATTTATTATTAATCTTTTGGTTAGTGCACCTTATGCCGGAAAATGCTTAATTTCTTAAAAACAAAGAAGAATTACAACATTGACATTGGCAAAAATTTGCAACATAACGTTGAGATTATAACCAAAATAAAAAATAAAACAAGTCTCAAATGCATTCATTAGTATAACACTTACATAAGCGGATTCTGCCTGAGGACCCACCCAACTATGATCCTTTTTTCGATGAGTATGAAAATAAAACTCAGCCAATGATGGATCTGTCTCTTTAGCCTCCTTCTGTAATAAATGAAAACAGAAACTTTAATATCAATTAATTTTGAAACCTAAATAATTAAATAAAATAGTAAATTAATAGTACCATTCTCTTCCAATGCAAATGATGAGGAATTGATCCACCAGTGTGAAGAGATGCACCATCCATAGACTCACGGTTTCTTTTATTTATTTCATACTTGTTTTTGAAACTTGAGGACTCCCAATGTGCCTTCAATTGTGCCCACACACCATCTTCCATCCAAGTTGGTTTCTGATTTAAATTTTTTCGGACTTCTTGCATTAATTGAGACATTTTAGCTGAACCCATTTTCTCAAAGTTGCACCGCACCATATCCTTATATTGAGGTGACCATGTAAACTTTGACTACATTGTTTGACAAGAATGAAAAAAATGATTAAATTAGACACATTTTAAAAAATTAATATGAAAAATATAACATCTTTAATCAAACATTGAAATTTGATTACCTTAAATATGTTAAACCACGAATCTCTTTGACCTATAGATAACTGCTTCCATGATGGTTTTGCTTCCTCCATGTTAGTACGTATAATTGAAGCTATCATCCCAATTACCAACTTATGATGATCAAACCTATGTAAAACAACAAAAATTGATGAATAATTAAAAATCAAAATAATTAAAAATCATATAACATGCTAAGAAAATATGAAGACCTACCCATCCCCTTCTGGGAATATCATGATTTTCTCCCGATTAATGCCTCCATTGACATGAAGAGATGAAGAAGATGGGGTTTCATTGACCATTGGATATTCTTCCATACAAAGGACTTGAATAGGGATATTTTGAGATTGGTTAGATTGAGGTAGAAGTGAAGGTGGAGTAGATTGAGGTTGAGGTTCAGAATGAGTGAGTTCTGTTTGATCATTGAAGCAAGCCTGCGACATGTTTTGTTTAGATTTTAAACTTAACATTGCAATGGCAGCAGAGAACTCTGATGTATTTTTAGACCCGGGCAGCACTGAATGCTCAACATCATCATTAATATGAGGAACTTTCTCTCCGTGGAATATCCAATATAAATATCTAGGTGTAAACCCCCTTTTAAGAATATGAGCATTTACTTCGTTTGGGGTTAAAAGCTTCTTATTTTTGCATAGCTTACATGGACACCTTATTACACCCTCACTTAAATACTTTGGTTGCCGACAAGCAAAATCAATAAACTCTTTGACGCCTTTCATAAATGCAGTTGTATAACGCCTTCGACCACGAAAAAGCCTATTATACATCCATGTTCGGTGTGTAGGCATTTCCATTTTTAGCCCAACTCCAATATTACTCTATGATAAGTATTTTTCAAATGTTAGAAAATAAAAAGCAGGATAAGAAACATGAATGAATCAATCAAACAACAAAAAACTCAACCTTCAATTATATATAGTATTCAAGAAAAAATCTCATTCAACAAGGTATTTTTTAAACTTGAATAATAGTTTAGTCAATAAATCTCAATATTTAATTTTACAAATTTTATTGGCATCTTTTTGCATTGGTATCCAAGTGCACAAGATGAACATGATGACATCACATCTATCAAATCAAGTATTCACCTAGAGGTCAAAATGAAATGCAACAAACCAATATTTAATCAAATTTAAGATACGACATTTAACTTGTGCCTATTAATCAAGTAAAGAAAAAATATCTTCCTAAACTATCCAAATTGGACAATTCAATATTCAATACAATGATTAGTACTTTAATCAATTATACTTGATCATTATATTAAATCTCATACGAGAAATTAAAGATTGCTCTAATTTATCTTAAATGAGAAACAACACAATTGAACATACAACATACATTTGAACATTTATACCTAAAAACCATTAAGAAAATGAACAACATATAATAATATTTAATAATAAATACACATTAATAAGAATTTAAATACTTCCCAAGAGTTGAACTCCCCAAGAGTTTCCAAACACAGTCACAACGCAAGCTAGTTGCTACACCAAGACCAAGGTGAGGTGCACAAACCCAATGATATATAAAAATAATAAAATCGCTATCAACACAAAACTAATTTCCTAATTTAAAGAATGGCATTTCCTAATTTCCCTGATTCACAAATGGACCTTACACAAAACTACCCGCACAATGAATACAATATCACTCCGGCCTCAGCTCAGGAACATTGAAAATTTACAGATGCATATAAGAATCATCACCAACTGCGGAATTCAATCAAAGAAAACAAAATTTAAAAAAGTAATTAGAGAAACATATTTCCAATTCTAAAGGGCACGAGGATTCTGCTTGCAAAAACACGAGGTTTTCAAAACACAAAAAGATCCTCTGGAAGCAAAAAGAAAAAAATCCATCGGCAATACACCACAAAGAAACCTAATAACAGTCCTAATTAGCGCCGAAATCCAGCCATTTATGCGACGGCATAAACGATGTTTCTCCCTTCGGCAGCTACGTAAATTAAATTAATAACTAAATACTTTGAAATCTTAATCTGAAAATTTGAATAGCTTCGCATAAGTAATCTGACGATTTTCAAATGCGTGTAAGAATCAAATGCACAAAACAAAGAAGGGTCCAGTGGTTCAACAATGCACAAGATGAACTTCGAAATAAAAACCCTAAATCACAGAGCGAGGGTTAAGGTGGCAATGCGAGTTACCTGAAGTGGCTGGAGAACGGTTGAAGCGGCGCTGGAGACGAGGGTTCAATGCTGAGAGTAGCTAAACTGAAACAATGGAAGCAGTTATTATTATTTATGCGATAAACGCAAAAGTGTAAACTGAAACACGAAAGAGAAATATATATATATATATATATATATATATATATATATATATATATATATATATATGGAGCGTATTAAGTGAGAAGTTTTTATTGTGAGAAGGTAGAAATATAACCCTTAGATTAATTTTCTCTCATTTGACTAAATCTCAAATTTTCTTTCACTTAATTAATCTAAAGGTTATATTTTCACCTTCTCACATTCTCACAATAAAAACTTCTCACTTGATACGCTCCCTATATATATATATATATAGCTTGCAGTTACAGGGTACAATCGCTGCATTTGAGGCGCGAGTGGGAACTGGAAGTGTGTAATGGGAAACACTCAAGGCAGTGAATTGGATTCGGATCTTGGATTAGAATTTTAAAGAATTATTTTAGTTGAAATTGTATTTTTTTAATTTTAAAAGATTTTGTCAGATTTTTATAATGTTTAAAATTTTGTAGGATTTTATAAGACTTTAAATTATGATTTTAATAAATTTTCCAAGACTTTTAAATCAAGATTTTAATGAATTTTGCGGGACTTTGTGAATTTTGTAGATTTTTGTGAATTTTCGATGTATGATAAGAATTCAATTTTTTTTATAAATTTGAATTTAAAAAGAGTTAAAGATAAAAATAATAAAAAATAATAATATTTAGATAAATAATAATAATAATTTTTCGTAATATCATGTCTCCCTAAATAATATTTATTCACATATTCATAATTATATCAGTCTTCCAAGAATTAACGTATTCTCGCTCTTGTTCCTGAATTTGAATAATAGATTCAAAATTATGATCTCATTAATCGATAATATTAACGATGAAGGTTCTTCCACTAGTTCAATTGAAAATTCATCAAAATGACATTATTTACAAAGAAAGTTATGTAGTGTTGCACATGCTAATACAAGTTATACTTGTGTCTTAAATAAAAATGGAATGTTGGCTTAAAAATTGTGAACCTTTGATTTAAAAATACTAAATATTCTCTCGATCACATTCTTTAAAGATGCATGACGAAGATTGAATAATTCTTTCTCATTTTCAGGGTCATTTACCTTGACCTGCAAAATCTTATAAATGATATCTTACACATCGAAATGAAGCTAAAAATTGACGTTGATTAGGAAATTCACAATCCACCAAAAAAATTTACCTAATTACATACGCAATATGAGGAGGGTTATAATAATACTAGTGTAACTTTTACTAACTATTACACCGCTCAATAACTTTATATTAAATGTAAATTTTGTAAATTCAATCGTTAAATTGAAAGTTCATATTACTTTATATGTGTATATCAAATTTTATTAAAATTGCACAACAACTTCAAGGTAATCAAAGTGTTCATATTTTAATATATTTTAAAATGAATATATTACATCAATTTTGTTTTATAAGAATGAACTATCAAATTATCTTAGATTAATATAAAATTTTGTATATATGATATAAGAGTAAAAAACTTTCAATCTAACGGTTGGATTTACAAAATTCACATTCAATATAAAGTTATTGAACGGTATAATAATTAGTAAAAGTTACACCATGTTATTATAACCCTCCTCATGCAATATATATATATATAATATATATATATATAATATTAGTATAATAATAATAATAATAATTATTATTATTATTATTTAAAGAATAAACATTTACCTTGACCCACTTTAAATCTATTCCTCCTTATTATAGCATCATTTAGTAGCTTAGAATAATGAGTCAAACCTTTCCACCCACTAAGAACGTACATGAACTCCAAATCAAAATTACAAGCAACTAATACATTTGGTGATATTTTTCCATGACGATTACGATAATTACTTACATCTCACCCCCTCACCATTGTTGAAATATGTGTCCAATCAATAACTCTAATGCAATCCTAAAATTTAGCATATATAACACTTCATCGTATGAAAAATATAGATATAGTACTGCCAAATTTAATTATAATTTTTATTGTAAGATAATTAATATATACCTTGAAAATAGGAAAAACCTTGAGCTTTCTCTAATTTTAGTTGGCACAGTTGATCCTGGTTTATCCATCAAAGTAGGTGCTATTGTATTCAAAGCCTTCAAAATCGTGTGAAAATTTTCACTTGTAGCAAATTGTGATCGGCCAAACATGTTACAAATTACACAATATCAAGTATTCTGACCAATTTGTAGGAATGATACAAACATCTCTTCAACACAAATATATCGTGTATCCTCTAGAGGTATTTTTCCCTAAAAATTGCACATAACTTTTGAAACACATCTGGATATACCCTATAAACTTGTCAAAATATTGTAGGATCATCTTTTAATGCTCGGTGTATATAGTCATTTCTTATGTTAATAATTCTTTGTCAATTTAATGGACGCTCAATTTTTTCATTACGTATCATAACTAGAAATTGAATCAACACATGCGTTAATGCATGAATTTCCATTACACATGCGTACATGGCCTCATTAAATTTTTCGTAATCTATCTCTTCGTCACCCATTTCTTCTTCATCTATGTCACTACTTTCATACATGCTTGAATGTGACATTGTACCTATATAAAACAATATAACTAAAAATAATTATATAATAACAAAAATAAAACATGCTAAAATATTTCAATCAAGTACTACCAAAATAACATCAAAACAATATAGTTCCACCATTCCAAAATGTGTTCATACACAACCAAAATATAAAGCAAACACTTCAATCAAGTGCAACCAAAATAACACAAAAACAATATAGTTTGACAAATCCAACATGTGTTCATACATAACCAAATTATAAAGAAAATACTTCAATCAAGTGCACCAAAATAACACCAAAATAATATTGTTCATCCTAGCTTGTACTTTATCCAATTTGAGCGCTCTTCTATTGACATCATCAAGAAAAAGTCTCTTTTTGTGTTAGTATCAAGCAAATCAGTCACCATGTAGCGAGTTTGATCATCCAAATTTGGAATCTCTTTTATAGCACTCCAAATATTTTCCTTTGCCTCTTTGTATCTTTCTCTTTTCTCCATCAAGTTAAACATTTTTTCAAAATTGATGGCTATAGTCTTAATGCCAATAGATAGATTTTCTAAAACTTTGGCTAGAGTGTTGTTCTCAACTGAGTTAGAACTCCCCCATACTTAGGCCTACTCCACTTACGATTAATTGGTTTTTTAGTGTAAACCTCTGAGCATAAAAGGGGTTGAGGTGGTGAAATACTTGGGTAAGGTGATGGAGGCTCGTAAGATGGTTCATAGTGATTTAGTACTATGAATGTATCATTGTTAAGATCATATGAAAAGTTTTCGATCCCAAAATCAACATTTTCTTCTTTGAAAGTTCTAGCATTAATATCATCAGGGTTACTGACATGGAAGTGTGTCCACTAGCAATTCCACCCCCAAGAACAATCTTCAAATCCTCATAATCAACCATACTTTTTTCTCGAAGATTTTTGTGACTTAGGTGAGACTAGAAAAAAAATTCATTATTAATATATTAAAAATAATATAATGCACTAAACTTGTAAACTATTAATATATTTAAAAGATTACGAAGTAATCTCACCTTCAAATATTAGGAAGTCCCTTTTTTATTTTTTATTTTTTATTTTTTTTATTTTACTTTCTTATTTGTGTTAATGAGATTTGAGGAAAATTTGCCGGTGATCGATTTTTTTATAAATAAAATAATCAAAACCAGTAAATAAATTTCGGAATAAGGAGAATATTTACAGGAATTAGTAGTGATTTTTTTTAAAAAAATAGTAAATAAAGTTGCAAGAACTATTCGTGAATTTTCCTATAGATTCTTTTTCAAATTAAAAAGGAAAAATTAAATCCATTTAAAAATTTGCAAGAAATATCTATAAATTTTCCCGTAAATTTCCAAAAACATTATAAAATAATAATAATAAAGAGATATCCAAGTTTTCCCAATGTAAAACGTTGTTTACTTCAAGTGCTAAATGTATGTCTTTGTATAATTTAGTTTTTAAAAGTCTAAAAGCACTTTATTTTTTTACAATCTAGTCCTATATTACTCACATTTAGTTTGTCTGTTAACCAAGTTTAACAAAGGGACTAAAATGTTAGTAATTCTAGACTTTCGGATCTAAATTGTATAAATATTAAAATTTTTATTTTGTTACAATTAATATATAAATATTTAATTTTTTTACCATCGATATATAAATTGGTAATCTTCATTGTCTTCTTACAGTGATAACAAAATCATAAAGGAAACAATTTAAAACAATTATTAAAAGAATGTTGTTAAATAATAATAATATATGAACTATTTTATATTTACAAGCGTAAAAAAAAACATTTCATCATATGTCGGTGAATTTTTTTAAAAATAAATTTAAAATAAATGACAAAAAATAATTGAAAATAAATATGAGAAAGTAGATAACAATGGATGTGAGTAATTTAGGTAGTTAATTAGAAAGTGTAATAAAAATTAATGAAAAAAATGTTTTGAAAGTTATGGAGGTAAAACAGTGTTGATGTTTTATGGGTAGTTTTCAAAAATAATTTTAATTAAAAAAAGCTCATTAGTGGATTAATATTTTCTCATGATTCACATTGCTTAGAATCACACTAAGACTATAGAGTTTACCTTTGTAGTGTGTTTTATGCCTTTTGGATAATCCTTTATGCAGTTAAAAGATGATTACCAAGCATTAAAGAGTATGGTGCTTTTACCTAGTCCACACGAATAACGTTGGAGCAAGCTTTTCGTGCTAGTCATGGTGTCCATAGGGTTAGAGTTTTGTGCATCTCCCAAAACTATCATAGACTCAAGAATCATGATTCCTAGAAATTACAAATCCTGTTAATTATGATTCTTGAAAATAAATGAAATATGTTTGGTTACTCATAAAAGTTTTTGGAAATATTTATACAAGATTCTTAAGAATTAAAGATTTTCATATTTAATTACAATAGTATATTCTTGAGCATATAAATATTTTTTACAAAATA